AAAAAAAGAAATAAAACAAAAACTAGCAGAAGAATATCTGTCTGTCTATCTATCTATCTATCTATCTATCTATCTATCTCTTTTATCTTTTTTTCCCCTGTCTCGAAGGTCAGGGAGGCCAACATGCAATTCCTGATCCCATTGTAAGGACCTATTCTGATTTTTTTTTTTTTTTAATATCCGTGTTTTTAAATACAAACATCTTTCCTCGCTCACGATCGGCAAGTGAGGGTGCTTTTTCGCCTTCCTCGGCGGGATGTCTGTCTAAATGTCACCTTTGGATGACATGTCCAAGTAATTTCTGCGATGTTTGGCAGACCGAAGGCATTAAAGACAAGGGGGAAGGTCGTTGCTTGTAAAGCACTCTAACCTGCCCCCGTTTCTGACAGTTCGTTTCAATCATTAATGTTAGTCGAGCAGGAAGAATCATTTACTCCCAGCACAAGATGTCACGATACACTAGGGTGTCGTTGGTTTCTCAGCGGTGCGAGATGGACGCACAATGAGACAAAACCGAGAAGGGTAGCCCTGTGGCAGAGAGACGAGTGCTGCTTCACTCGCGACTTGACGGAGTCCTGATACGAGAACAGTGGGGTAACACATTCGATCAGCCGCCTTCTACCTGTTAGCAACGTCTTCTTCGCAGCAGCAGATGCTTGTTTGAAATATAGCATTAGAAAGTCTCCTAAACATGATCCTGAGACTTTAAAAGATGGTTTAAATTGCCTATGATTAAACAGAAGTGCATTTGCTGTTTGGTGGAGATGTTTATTTTAGTTGGTGTATCCATTTCTGAGCTGATCCCAGTTTCGGAGCACAACTGGTTTGTTTTACCAGAGTATACGGAAATTAAACTTTTTGGCAGATTTGGTTACTCAGATGTTGTTCTATAATCATAGTTTTTATTCTAGGAAATCTCTTCATTATTGCGGTTTCAGTTTCATGTTCATAACACAGTCCCCTCTGCTTCGTGGGCTAAATGAAATAAGTTAAACTAAACCAGTTAAGAAAATGGGAGGCAAATACGAAAGATAAATGTTTACGGTTATCTTTGAGTCCTTTTTTCGCCCCTCTTTTTGTTCTTTTTCTGTCCCTTTCCTCTCTTTTTTAACTGCGTGCTTCAGGCTCTTTCCTCTCCTCTGAGGTCCTGCAGATGAGAAGCGTTTTTTCAATTAAAGCCGAGACTGAAACTTAAACAAATCCCTTCAGTATTGTAAAAGTGCGTTTCCTTAAGCCCTGGAGGATTTTCCTCCAACTGTCAGTTTCAGGGTGCCTGGATTTAGATCTCCATCCACAGCGACTGACAGAGATCCCTTTCCGCATGAAGGGCATGCGGGCATTTTAACGAGCTGGAAGGAGTCGAGCGGCCGCAGAGGAACGCCCGGCACCCGTCCCCGGCGGCTCAGAGCGACCACCCTGGGGGCTGGGAGGGTGGCAGTCCCACTGCGGCGGCGGGAGCAGAAAGGCCGGGATGGGAAGGGACTCGCAGCGGTCTTGTCCCGTCCTTTGTACTGCTCCCGGGACCTCTTGACTTCTTGGGACCTCTGGCAGTAGCCGTGCGATCCCGATGTTTGTTTGGAGAGGTTTTTCCGCTTTTTTTTTTTTTACGCCCCCCCTTTTCTTTTTTTTTCTTTGCGTACTCAATGGGCAGCAGGAGTGACTCTTTTAATAGACATCTTCCCAACGGCTACCAGCAGGACCCTTCTTCCCAGCTCCCGTTGAAGAGTTGGTCTTTCCCTCCTTTCCCGAGGCAGAGGAAAAGGGGAGATGATCATGGCAATGCGAGGGGTTGAGACACCTCCCATCTCAAGGGCAAACAAGGACATTCAGGGCAAACGCAGGGGCCTATCTCGCCTTGTGGGAAAAAAACCCCAGCCTGACCCCAAAAGCATCACCAAACACGCTCCCTGTGCACATAACAGGGACCTCTCGTGACATTTTCGAGGGAGTTACCTGGGGTATCGCCACGGGTTTGGATGACTTTCCACGAGGATATTTTAAGAAATTTTTCATCAATGTCTGGATGTGGGGGGAAGCTAACTCCGGGTCAGGACACCTCCATGAACGTGGTGATCGTAAACTAGCAGGGCCGCACCTTTCCCTTTCCTCTCTGCTACACGACTCTCACGGCCGGGAGAGCTTTGTTCATTGCCCGAGGACGGAGAGAAAGACCAGGCGAAAAACAAAGTTTGGGCGAGAAGCCAGCCGAAGGGCAAACTCTACTTGCCTTTAGGGAAGTGTTTGCCGGGCGAAAATCGGCCTCAGCAGGTGGGGAGTCTCCACTCAACTCTCCCACGCTGGACACGCAGAACCTTGGCTCCTGAGGGCTTCCCGCAGGGAGCCGGTACTCTGTGGGCCTCAAGGACCGGAGGACCCCGCGGAGGGGAAATGCGAGCACTGAACACCGGGGACGCGAACATATCCGCCCCCCGCCGCCCCCCACCCCCTTTCTCCGGACAAGTCCCGCTTTCACAGCCGTTTGGTCTCTTCAACAGGCTGCAAAAGAGTTTCTCAGCGTTTAGACTTTCCGGGGAACACCTACGCCTAAGGTTTTGTCGCAATGTTAACCCCTCAGCCCTCCCCGCCCTCCGCCCCCAAGGATGCCTGCATCCCCTGCGTCCCACCCCAGCCTCATCATTGCACGGGAACCATGACAGGCAGACACCCTGCGAGCCTGAGGTGTTCCCTAAACGCAGAGATGATATCCACCCAGCCGCGGGGCTGTGCTAGGGGTACCGACGATGGTTTGCCGGGACCCAGTGGGCAACCCGTCCTGAGTGCCCTTCTGTGCTTTCCCCGCGGTCTCGGGCTGATGGGATAGAGGAGAAAGGGGATCCCCAGATGTGGGATGGGATAAAGCAGGGGCTCCTACTGATAGACTACCTGGACGCCCTGCACATAATATGGGTGTTGCAACAGCCCGCCAGACCTGCGCGGATATCGCGGCGATTAAACCTTCACGAAGACACGCTGCGCGTGTGATAGTGTCGGTTTTTTAAGTGTCAGCTCAGCCCCCGAGTACTTCCACCAAGTGTTT